TGGCCACTCCAGACGTAAGTGATATCCACATTACTACTGCCAAGAAGAAAAGCTCACCACCTCAAGGATATAATCTGCCTTATGATGCTCGGAATGAAAAAGATTTAGCCATGAACGTAAGAGTGTCACCTTACATCGGAGATGAATACTGAAATAGAAATTAAATTTGAAGTAAGTGCTCAAAATGGCAGAGTCTCGTGCTGATAACGTGTTATAAAATAAAAACTATAAAGTAAATAAATCAAAGACAAGTATAGAGAGAGATTGATATATTATTCAACTTCAAACTGATGTATATAATGAACTGAAAACTCTTTTATTTATAGATGAAAGGGAGCAACTGAGAGACTTTTCTTGAGCTGCTTGTAAGTTGTCTGCATGAGCTGCTTGTAACCTGCATGTTTAATAAGAAACTGTTGCAAATCATTTTATTGAGTTGCTTGCAACCTGCTTGTATCAGCTGCTTGTTTATAAACTTCAATAGTATACCAAACGTACAATCTTCTTCAGAAAAATTATCTATAACGGAGTAATAAATAAATATCCACAATATAATTATTTTCATAGCAAAATCTTTTTTATGGACAAACGGGGGCCGAAATTAAAAGGGCCATTCTTTAGTTACTGACAAGGAAAAGGCTTGAAAGAAACGAACTAGAGATGCTGGAAATCAACAACTTTTTGGAAGAAAAGAGCGTTGCAAAAGCGAATTACACTTATTTCGGGGCTCCCACCTATTCAACTTGCTTTATTACATCAAAAGCTTTAAGGAAAAGAAAAATGGTTGTCCTCTTTCTCTAGCAACTGTGGGGAACTAGTTAACACTCTTTACAAATGCTTTACGGGCTGTTAAAATCACATTCAACCTAGTCCAAATAGTAGTAATTGGAAATACATCGCGTATATTGTTTGAGAATTGCTGGAGAAATCGGTAAAAATAACTTTGCCAAATTTTAGTTCCAGGATTTTATTCGAGGATAAAACACTACAATAACAAAAATATCCTTTTTTAAGACTCTTCCCCCAATAGAAAAGTTAAGGTTAAAAATAGAAATAAAAGTTTATCCCAACCTATTTTGTATACACCAAATACATGTTTTATATTGTACACGATCGTATCTTTCATTTTTAGTTCAATATACCAAATATCTCTCAATTAAAATACATTCACTAAATAATCTCATCAATATTTTATTCATGTATTATAATTCGGTCATTGTGATCTCAAAATAACTTGTTTCTCTATCAAACAACAATGATTGCGCTAACCACCGTCAAAACTCGTCAAATTGTACGCATAAAAATTCTTTACTCAATGTGGTATATATAATTTAAATCCTTACGACAACTAGCAAAAGTAATCCATTCAGAGAGGATAAATAAAAACTAGGAAAATAAATTAAATAGGAGTTCCTACTAGATTTCCACAATTATTAGTTGAAGAAACAATATGTTTGGTTCGGTTGTTGGTGTTGTGCAAATGGAGGGATGTGGGGCTGGAACAAAGGCTTTGTCTGAGCGTTAGGTAAAGAATTAGTTGAGGGGTCCTTTGATGACACAAAGGAAAGGTGAGTTTAATGGGGGAGGGTGGGGGACACACCCATATGAACGAGATGGAGATCCATTCTTTTTCTATACCATGTAAAATTTTATTAAAACTCTCATACTAATTCAAATTCGTGTTATGTAGGACTCACTAAAAAATAAGTGACCTATTATAAGATATTTCTTTATTTCTAATATTTAAACCCGAGACCTCTCTAATTTAGGGTGAAGTAATCTTATCTATTCCGGCATACTCCTACATGGCAGACAGAGATTCATTCCACAAAACTAAACTTTAACCATGGCCATGCTCTCTCACAATCATGCTAGAGCAGCTTTATATTATTATTGTTGTATTATATTTCTTTCTAAATATTCGGTCCCTTAAATCTTCTACTCCATCTAACTTTGTCATGCTAATGTGATCTTGTCTCTCTTTCTCTCCATATAATAATGTGTATATCACACTGTTTATGATTATTTGACTAGGGGTGTATATGGATTAGGTTGGTTCGGCTTTTATTAAAACCAAACCAAACCAAACCAACTATATCGGTTTGGATTGGTTCGGGTTTTCCGGGTTTTCGGGTTTTTTTTTTGTTACATGAATATTATTTCAATCTTACTTTATTAAAATTATAGATAAAGCTTTGATAAGTGAATATATGTTTAGTAAATATGGAAAAAATTGACAAATATATGATCTATTAAATATTCTAATGGGAGAATTTTTAGTAATGCATGATAGTTATTTTCTTAGTCGTCTAACAATAATTTTTCGTTAATTTATGCTTTCAAAGTTAATACATGAGAGGATCCCAAATATTACTACATTTTCTAAAGAAAAATCACTATAAAGTCTTAAAAATATAAATAAAATTATATATTTATATACCGGTTTAGTTCAGATTTTTTTTACTCAATACCAAACCAAGTCAAACCAAACTTAGTCGGGTTTTTTAATCGATTTGATTTGATTTTTCGGTTTGGTGCGGTTTTCCAGTTCGGTTTGAACACCCCTAATTTGATTACTGAGGATTATCTAATGTCAAACAATAAAGAAAACAAAGGGATAAGGGAACACATTTTAAAATAGGATTCCTATTTTATTAAGAAATGTTGGATATAATAAGTGGGATACAGTGATAGAAATGTTACATTCTCAACCAAATGGATGTCGTCCTCCACTCTTTTTAACTTCTTTTTGGAAACTAATGTAGTGATGCAAACTGGGCTTAATTCGTTAATTTTAATTGTTTACCTTGTTATACTGTTATTGTCTGTTTTTAATTTTCTTTTTTACTTTCTTAATTTGGAAGTTGTTAGCAACTTCCAATCATGTTATGTTTTTTTTTAATTTTATCATTTTGTTCAATTCAGAGAATATGAACTTCGTGGCATATTCTTGTTTTAGAAAAAGTGCTCGTTAGAAAAATGTGACTTATAGATAAACAAAAAAACACGTTAATAACCCGTTTTCGGTAGCAGAGCTATTAATTCTAGAAGGGAATCAAAAAAAGTAAGAATGTCACACATGAGATTTAAATGTGGCATAAAACAATTTTTTGAATTACATTTGTCACTACAAATAAATTTTTCCTTATGTTAAGGAAATTCAATATGCGGGGTTTCCCCCGATTTGTATAGTATAATTTTCTGATATAAGGGTAAGCCCTTTTGTTTCTATTCTACTCAGGAATTGGATATAACTGGAAAATCTGTAAATATTAATATCATAGCACGTTTTTTGTTGCTAGCAAAGGAAGACTTGTACTTTTTAGGTGTGACCACAGCTTATCTTCTTTTTAATTCAAATGATTGTGGGGATTGAATGAAAGTTGAAATTCAGTTGAGGATTAAAGAGAACGTCAGTCTTCCTCTTTTGAAGTCTTGTTATTTGAGTGGCCAAAAGAAGATAAACGAGGATATGCAGAATTTGTTTGTAGCTGCCCCTTTATTTGGCTCTGTGCTGCCTTAACTTACTGTCAGGGAATCATTTGCAGCAAATGTTATCTGGGAGAAACGGGTGGCTGAAGGTGGAAACATTCACTTAATGGATTTTACTAGTATATCTTTTGACAATATAATGACACTGCAATTTTTTACATGCCATTTTAAACTCTTAAAAATAAGTCACGATTGTCTAGTGGTTTAAGGCGCAATATTTCTCACAAAATATAACTCATAATGTTCTAATTTCAATCTTGCTACAAAATATAATTCATAATGTAAGAGTAATGAGTTATAATTAGGATAAGTCGAGTATCATAATGTTTAGATTGAATTGTTTGTTGTTGTTTCATGATGTCATGCACAAAAATAAACTTGCAATATTATTAAAAAAAAAAGTAAGATACGAGATAATATTAATATACAAAAAGGTAGGGTAAAAGATAAAATAAAATTATTTAATAGTAATAAAAAAGGGCAAGATGAGAGGAAAAAAAAGGAAACGGCGCGACCACACCAAATCAATCATTCCATTTCGTCGTTACGTAACGACGGATTTAAACGATACGATACAACAAAAATTAAACAACAATCAAAACAAACATTGTATTTAAAATAACAATACAATACAATACAACATGTAACCTCAAATTCTATTTAAAAGTTATCTGTTAGTATTGGCTTTAAATTGATATATTAACATAAAAACTATACTATCAGCTGCTCTATAGAAGGAAAGCTCTGGAAGAATTCCTAGTGACAATGATAAGGAGAGAGTTTCTTTTTTTGGCTTTTACCTTATCATCAAACCTCAATGCTACTGTTTTGGATTAGATCATAGGATTTCTTAATTCTTTAGTCCCATTTCTTCTTTAATTTATCTCTTTGAACTCTCCATATCTCTCTCACTCACACGACATATCATGTGAGATTTTAGAGCCATTTCAATTTATGTTTGTTTTCTGATGCTGACAACCTCTACCACCAAAGTAGTTCTATCCACAGACAAAAGTAGTTCCATTCCTGAATTATGCTGGTGAAATATATCCCCTAACCCTGATCATTAGTTCATATTATTAAATAAACTGTCGACATGATAGCTCTCTTTCCATGCAATAACCAGATGATGAAAACCGTCCCCGAGACATGACATGACATGCCCCGTGAGCTTTAATTGTAATTGACGACTGACTAAGCGTGCTTTGGCAGATCGTAATAGATTATTGCCTACAGTAACCAAACTGGAGAAAACTAACCCTGTATTTCCTGAGAGAGTAATCAAGGTGTTTAAAATCGTAAACATGTTTAAGTCCTGTGGCACAAACGCCGTAATATCTGTTGTTTACAATGGCTTTTGATTCCTTTGGGATGAAAGAGTAGTACTACTATTACTGTAGGGGACCATCATTCAACCCCACCACTGTTTCTTCTTATCTCCACATTCTTGATTTTGCATTGATTTGATATGGCTGTTTCTCCTTCCCGGCCCCTCAGGCCCTCATCTTCCTTCTCTTTACTAGTAGCTAGCCATCCTTTTCCCATCTCTATAAATCTCTTCTCTCCATCTTTGTTGAGGTTCACAAACCAACCAAACAAGGCTTAGTACAAATTTTAGTTGATTTTAAACGAAGCTACTCAGTCCCTTCATTGTCAAACCACCACAATAATAATAGGGGATTTTGTCTAAACATGTTAAGCTGCGGCGAAATGAGTGTTCTTGAGAGACAGAGAGCAGTGTTGGAACGTCTTTATAGCCAATCCAAACAGCAGCTTTCTTCTCTGCCTCTGCAAAATCTTGCTCAGTTTAACAATTTGATTACTGAGCAAATGATGGGCAGCCTTGACATTCCAATTGAACGAATGAACGAGAATTTTACGAACTTCAATATGTTTGGGAGAGAACATGATAAGGCCATAATAGGCTTTGGTTTTACCAATAATTGGCAAGAAACAGCTCGTCCCTCTTTCTCTACAGTCTCGAATTCATCCATTACAACAGTGTCTCCGCCGCCAGAGAAAGAAATAGATACAATTGTAGCTCCGACAGGAAATGTGGTGTCAACAAATAAGAGAAAAGCAGAGGTTTGTAATACTAGTACATCTACTTTAGTTTATCGATTCATTAATCAACTATGCCTTAATCCTAAACTAGTTGTAGTAGCTATATGAATCTGGCACATTTCATTCATATATTATTGTGTATAATTCACTTAAAACGAAAAGGCTTTGTTTTTATTGTATTCAGCAATTTTCTGAGGAAGAGGATTGTAAAATCAAGAGACCTCAGTCAGAGATTAGTGAGAAAAGCCAAAGAGCTGCTTCAGGGAATAATTCAAAGGAGAATTCTAAGACATCAGAGGTTCAAAAACCTGATTATATTCATGTCAGGGCACGTCGTGGTCAAGCCACTGATAGCCACAGCTTAGCAGAAAGAGTAAGTACAGAAATATTATGCTAGTTTTGTGACAGAGTGACTCGAACTGACGACCTCATGTTAGCCGTCTCATTTAAAGTTTAAACTGCTAGAAAGAGACGTTGCAGTAGCAATTGGCTTACGTTTTCTTAATGAATTTTTGCAGGCTAGAAGGGAGAAAATCAGTAAGAAGATGAAATATTTACAAGAGTTAGTCCCAGGTTGCAATAAAGTGACTGGCAAAGCCGGAATGCTAGATGAAATCATCAATTACGTTCAATCTCTACAGAAACAAGTCGAATTCCTATCAATGAAACTTGCTGCTCTAAATCCTAGACTTGATTTGAACACAGATAACTTATTCACCAAAGATTTCCCCTCTTACATGTCCAATTTTCCAACAATAGATGTTCCCACATATTCGGAATATAACTTAATCCAACACCAACAAATGTTACCCCAAAGAAGCGAAAACTGTTTAATGTCATTTCCAGAAGCAACTTCCTCCCCTATTTCGGTAATTTCTTCATTCCTTTCTTCTGATTTCAACTTCTAGCTTAAAAAAACAGTTACTATGATATACATATGAAATTTTCCTTGTACCTAAAGTGGATATGTTACTGTTATATTGCAGGTAGTACAGCAGCAGCCAAATTTTGAAACTGATTTGCAGAGCCTTTTTCAGTGTCAGCTTTAACTAGTTAAGGATGATTGATCAACAAATATTCTAGTGCAGAATGGTCTTGATTATGGTGCCTTTCCATTTTAAGTACTATTTATCTGGGACTGTTCTTTGAGAAGCAGAATTAGAACTCATTCCACTAGCTCCTGTATAAAAAATTCAACAACCTTTTAAGAGAAATTCTTACATTTTACACATTTATAAGGCATATTGTGATCTATTCATATGTATAGCCAAAGTTGCAGTATTTGACTGATATGTAATGGAGTAATAAAAGATTGATCTTGTAATCTTTCTTATTCCTTCGCGCATCTTATGTTTGATCAATTTAACAACTCAAATCTTTGAGCGATCCAACTTTTGTGATTGAGACAACCCTTTGAATTATAAGGTAAACAGCAAATATATTTGTTAATAATGAAACAATTAACAAGAACAACCTAAAGAAGTATCACTGTAAGCTGAGAAGTAGGGCAAGGTACTGCAGCAATTTTTAACGAGTGTTGGGGCAAGGAAAGAGAGGAGGTATAAAAATCAAGTCTGTCTTTCTCTATATCGGTAATAGCATCAACTTCATTCTCTAATAACAGGTCCTAACTCTAATAGTATTCTTCTTTGAGTAGAGTAGGCATAACCACTGCTATTTCATCTGCAACTCTTATCGTTGATGGAATAAGTACTTCTTAGTCTTGTTGTTCCAAGTGTTGGAAAATTGGTTATGGTGGATAGGAATTAGCTTGAGGCATGTCAAAGACACTATTCTTAAGAATATTTTTCGGTCACACAATAATAAATATAATTAGGCGTATTGCTCAGGATTCAACTAGTACTTCCAGTTATTAAACTGGGAACAAAACTGGCGGAAAATTCAAGAAAGAAACCCAACATATAAGAGGAAGAAGATATTCAGAAAGCCGTGTCAGAAAAAGTGTCTTTATCTCTCCAAAGACCATATTTATATAGTTGTTGCTCCAACAACTAAATAACGGCTAGTTTGACTTTATCAAATGTATAATAATTTACTAAGTAATATGTAGACATAAAAATAATATTTTAAGAAATAAAAAAAATCCAAATAAAAATGATGGACATTCCCTTTAGAGATAACACTAATTTTTCCAACACCAAGAGTCTTCACTGGTTAAACCTGTCCAGTATATTTCCTGTTTGACTCATCCTCGTCATCAATTCTTTGATTGAGATACTATTACCTAGATTCCAAAACTCGGAACTCTAAGAAAAAGGATATCACATGATACTGTAGAAAAAAAAAAGAGAGAGAGGAGAACTACTGGCAGGAATTGATGAGCAGTGGTTGAGTGGTCCATCGCATCTTTTTTGGTTGTCACTTGTGCCTTTGCTTCTGAATAATGCTTCCTTTTTAATGGGGACAAAGAGGGCCAGTTTAAATGGGACAATCACCTAATCAACTTCCTTGCGCACATGACTAACCAACAATGTGTATTTGGTGTTATCAAAATGAATAAATGCAAAATATATAGTATTTATTAATGTATAATTTTTTAGTTTAATGTTTAACGGTTTGATTTGGCGTAAATACCAAATGCGCCTAATTTTTTTCCATTAGTGATGGTGGCAGAACAAATCTTTGTGAAAGAATCTTTTTTCTTTCTTTTCTTTTTTTGCAAGTGCAATACATCCATTGAACAGAGGAGCAAGTCCCAGACTGTAAACAAAATGAAGAAAAAATAAAAAAGAGAACAAGATATGCTTTTTTTTTTTTTAGATATGCTTCAAGTGCAACTGCTGCTTTGTTCTTTTTAATTCACATAGTTAACAAAATATAAGAAAGATTTATCTAGGCAAAATGATTCGAATTTGTGATGCTATGATTCGATATCCTCCTTACATTTTCTTGTTCTTAATTTAATTGTAGATGCTGAAATTTACGGGGATCGAAAATAGAGTATTAAGCTGAGATCATGAAAAATAGTACTCCCTTTATTCCAATTTATTATACTTTTAGTTTTTCTCCATTCCAAACTTCCTAATTTTGGTGATGCATTTGGACATAGAATTTTTCAGTTTTTCAAAATAAAATTTATATATTTAGAAACTAAGTAAAAAATACTATAAGTCACAATAATTAATAAGTTAAAATATTTGGAAGGCGTATGAAAAAATTACGGTCAAAGAATAATCTGTTTAACTCTCGAAATTCGAACAACTTCATATAATTCGGATGGCGGGAGTAATAATTTTGTAGGATTTTAAAATATATTTGTCCTATTTAATATTTATATTGTTAGCATATAAGAAGTAGATTTAGAACCTGTTAGGCCAAGTTTCTGGGAGGCCAAAAGTACCTTTTTTTTGTCCAAAAAATATTTCTGAATAATTTATAGGTTATTGGCCAAAATAAAAACAAATACTTTTGAGCAACAACAAAAGCAATTTTTCTTCTTTTGGGAGAAGCTACAGTATCTAGCTTCCCAAGAAGCAGAAGCAGAAAATTAATTTGTTCAAGAGAAAAATAACATTACAATAAATTTATATTATCCAATTATCTCTCATAATTTAATATTTTTCTTTTTCTTTTCTTTTTCTTTTTATTTATACTATACATTTCTTCTCTTTCTTATTTTAATCATATTTTTATTCTCTTTCTCCTTGTCACGACCCGGACTTCCCGCCCTCGGGACTGTGATGGCGCCTAACATCACACTTGCTAGGCAATGTTAGTGTTATTAACCAATTTTTTTTTACATTTCAATGATTACGAGTGAACAAACTTAAACAAGTGAAAATAATTGTGGAAGTAAGTAAACAGTTACTTTATATATAAATACTATAACCGATATTGTCACTGTTACTATCCAGAATTCGGTGTCACAACTCACAAACATACTAGAATTATCTACAAACATTGGTCTGAAGGAAATTGCAGCTGTTTCGAAAGAAAGAAAACAAAAATATAGAAGTGTAGAAAGGGACACCAGGGCCTGCGGACGCCTGCAGGACTACCTTGGGTCTCCGAACTGAGTAACTTGAAGCAAATCTCTCAATCAGCCACTACCTGCTCCGAAATTTGCACAGAAAGTGCAGAGTGCAGTATCAGTACAACCGACCACATGTACTGGTAAGTGCCGAGCCTAACCTCGACGAGGTAGTGACGAGGCTACTGCCGGACAATTACAATATAACATGTATACAATATGTAATAAAGCAGAATGAAATACGGAACAAAATGAAACAGTAACTTGCAAAGAACGAATACAGAACTCCAGTATTTCATCAGTATCGAGCTATAACCAATCCAATCCTTAAGTGAAATGCAAAACCGTAGAATAACTTGCACAGTAGAGGAAAAGTACATAAACACATAACTTATGCGGCGCGCATCCCGATCCCATCATATAATCAGTAACAACATAATATTCACCCTTATTACTCCATGTCAATCCACCTTTATTCCTCCTGTTGCGGCGTGCAACCCGATCCTACCGTACAATAGCAATTCACCCCAGTAATGAAAAGAGCATCTGCTTCCTCGCTTTAAGCGAGATGCGGAGTGAAGGGCTGGTCTCTACCCCAACTAAAAGCGACTCAGGTACACATAAGCGACCGCTTCTCTCTAAAAGTGAGAATCGATGAAGCGGAGCTGAGCGAAAGAAGCGGTCGCTTTTTGAATTAAAAGGCCCAAACGAGTCTTTTTTTCAATTAAAAGACCCAAATCGTTGAGTCTTCTATTTTAGACACTTCTTCAGCAGCAAACTAGAGTTCTAAACCAGCCTTTTCTTCCTCAGAAAATCAGCGATTTCTTCCTCACATGAAGCAGCGATTTGTTCAAGCAAACTAGGGTTCTTCTTCTTCTTCTTCAACATTACAACAACAACTTTCAAGTTTCAACAGGTATGTTTTGCTTTTGCACTTTTTATTTTCATTCTTCTTTTTCTTTTTCTTTTTCTTTCTAAACGTCCAAAAAACGCCGAAATGCTAGCGAATTTTTTTCAGAAAAATTCTGCCCGTTTCTGCCTAATTTGCTCATTTTGTGCTTTAATTGATGCTACTTTTTAGTTTTTTAATTCAAGTATTGAACATTTTCTTACAATTACATGTGTTGTCTATGCCGTATTTATTTTAATTTTTTTTTAAAATTCTGCTTCACTTCAAAAAATGGGCGCTTCGCTTCTCGCTTCTCGCTTTTCGTGAAATGGGGGTTGTCACTTTTCCTCTCTTTACGCTATTCACAACACCGATTCACCCTTATTACTCCTCAATATATCACCCTTATTCCTCTTGTTGCGGCGTGCAACCCGATCCCACCATATAATAACATTTCACCCTTATTCCTCCTCATTATATCACCCTTGTTCCTCTTGTTGCTGCGTGCAATCCAATCCCACCATATTAATACCAATCACACATCTATATTATATTAAAAGGAGAGTAGTATGCATTGTGGTTAAGCCAAGTGGCAAGGTAAAATGAAGCCACTTGGCAATTTTAGGACAACATTAATAATTAGAAATTATATATAGAAACATAATTAATGGAAGTAGTTTAATGAATCTTATACATAATCTAAATAGATCTTAGACAAATCTAATCTATATCTATATTTAAATTTATATGTATATTTGTATCAATATCTATATCTATATCTATATTTATATCTATATTTATATCTATATATTGATCCACTCATAGATTTTCTTCTATATTAGCTAGAAATATGGAGGTGAAAAATTAATTAAAAACTATAACAAAAAATAAAAATATATAAAGACGTAAATTGAGATAATCTATGACTATTATACTTTGGAGTAAGTTAAAATATAAAATAAAACTAAAATTTACTTAAGATATTTAAAGATTTATTGAGTTTAAAATTTAAATAAATTCAAGCAGCAAAATAAGATCTTACATAAAGTATACAAATTATTTATAAGGTAAGAGAAAAATTAAATCATCAGCAAAAGATTTTTTTAATAACAAGAATAATAAATTCATATTAATATTGATAAATCGTACAAATGAATATTTTATGCGTAAATATTACTACAATATTTAGATATAATGTGTTCAACTAATTAAGAAAATATGTTTTTTATGTTAATATTTGAATTGAGTTCAGTTAGTTTAAGTTTGAAAGCATAACATAATTTTTTGAAAATATGGTCCAATTAAGAAAATAGAATGATAAAAATTATATGAATTTGAGATGAGATAGTTTTTAAATTTTTATCTATATTATATTAGAATGAGTATCGTAAAAATAGATATTAAATTCAAACAGGATAATAAAAATTCACATGACAATGTAATAATGTTCGGT